GCCATCGTCCATCGCCGATGGCTGACAGACATCACGATGTTGAGCTGACATCGTGATCCCCCCATAACCCCCGCAATCCGCCGCATCCCAATACTGTGTTCGGAAAGAAAATGACGTGTTCTACGGAACCCCTCAAGGGAATAAATAAGAGATGGGAGGAAAATACATAATTTAATAATGTCTCTCGCAGTTATATCATTGGGTAATTATATTGTATATAAATTGCGGGCATCAGGGAGCCACTAAACTGCTTTTGAATGCATGATCCATTTTAGTTTCACTTTCACTTTCGAGATTTGTGATCGCACTTATACATGGAGTGGCAGGACTTACCACACATTTTACAAGATTAGATGTTTGTCAGTGGTGCTGAGGATCTGCAAATCATTCTCCTTCGTCCTCAGTCAGGTCACTAAGCAGGTTTATGCTTGTTATTCAGCTTAGCTACAGCGACAGTGGGATGCCTTTGTCCATAGGGATTTCCTGGCGTCAAAAGTTACTTCTATCATATGAGTCCGTTTTGGACTTTCTGTACGAGAGCGCCCTCCGGCTTCGAGTATGAATGAAACATACAGCGCATGAGAGTGTTCAGCGCTCCGTGATGTTCACATCGTTTTGGATAAGAATAACGTATCCAAAACGACGTGACTATATTGTCTCTTTTAATTTAAATCTAGATTTATTCACATTGGCCCTTGAAAACCTCTACGTGAACACACCTGCCCGAGAAAAAGTGCATGGGAAAAAGTTTAGGTTTTATTAAAAGTCGGGGGGACACCTCCCCCGCGTATTGTACACCCATGCTACAGGGAGCCACCGCAGAGGGATGAAAGAGCCGCATGCGGCTCGGGAGCCGCGGGTTGCCGACCCCTGATCTAGGTGGATGTTGAAGTCTCCAAGCAGAACTAGAGGAGTAGCCTACCATCCTCAGGAAAGTTTGAGAGCAGCACATCTAATTCTTCCACAAAGTTACCTAGTGGTCCTGGGGGTCGATAAACAACTATAAAATGGATTTTAAGAGGGTGGGTAATAGTGGCTGAATGTGATTCAAAGGAGCTGTTGATACTCAGAGATAGTAAAGGATTACATTTCCAATCATTAGAGATAAGCAGACAGTACCTCCACCTCTTCCAGTCAGAAATTATTAGAGTGCTGCAGGTGTAGCATTGTCTTCTGGTTTGATCCACGTCTCTGTCAGGGCCATGAGGTTTAGTCTTGAATGACTTGTAATAGAAGTAATAAAATCTGTTTTGTTTACAGCAGACTGGCAATTCCAGAGACCAATAGAAATAGAAAGTAGTGTATTAGTAGACATAGGCAAAGTGCGCAGGTTGTTAGGATTGCGCTGCCTACAGTGTGTGATGCATGGTTTGCGAGTGGTAGTGATAGTAGGGATCTGGAAACACATAGTAAGATTTGGTTATAAAAAAAATGAAAACAGAAGGGAAACAAGTAGTAGGAAAGAGAATGATTCAGAAGCGATACTTATGTCCCTTGCCGATGTCCCTGCACGGTAGAGTCGATGGTCTTTACACGCTTCGGTCTTCACACGAGGAGGGCTTCACACAAGGGCTGCCGCGGTATACTAAGCTTTTTATATTCGTCTAACAAAACTCAAATTGAATTCAGCTGGACACAATTTCCTGTTTATCACAACAAATGGCCAAGCAAAGCGCACGACACTGACAAGGAATGCGATACAGTACGAGACCAAACGCGATTTCAGCAACACGAGGAGGGCTTCACACAAGGGCTGCCGCGGTATACTAAGCTTTTTATATTCGTCTAACAAAACTCAAATTGAATTCAGCTGAACACACTTTCCTGTTTATCACAACAAATGGCCAAGCAAAGCGCACGACACTGACAAGGTACCCGATACAGTACGAGACCAAACGCGATTTCGTATTTATATAGATTTAGTCTATTAAAACGCATTTAGAATGCCCATCAGATTCAAGATAAGAGGCAAAATGCCTCTGTATGTCTTTTATATTTATATAATTTAAAGGGGTGGTTGATTGCGATTTCACTTTTTTAACGTTAGTTAGTGTGTAATGTTGCTGTTTGATCATAAACAATATCTGCAAAGTTACGAAGCTGAAAGTTCAATGCAAACGGAGATATCGTCTTTTAAAATTCTGGCAGTTTAATGCCTACAAAAACGACTGGTAAGGGACTACAACGAGTTACTTCCCAGGTCCGTTACGTCAAGAACCCAGAATTTTACATAAACCCCGCCTCCGGGAACACGCAGCAAAGGGGGCGAGGCCATGCTGCGCTGCTTTAGAGAAGAGGAAGAGAAAAGTAGGGGCGCATGTAAAAATCTATTCATATATGAATCACGATTCTGTCTTCTAACGATTCTAATGGATTCACAAATTTCAAAATGTTCTAAAGCAGCGTTCTCATCCTGTTCCTGGCCTCACCCTGCTCTGCACACACTCTGCATCTCTCTCTCTCTCTCTCTCATTCAGATCATCAGCTC